GAGTTGGGGGTAGACGAAAACGATGAGATGATGGAGGCTGGAGGAGGAAGAGGGGGGATGTGGAGGTTAAGTGTTTTGGACACAAGTTTAGATGGATAGTCTGGCAGGCAGACAGCTCAGACCCCACTCCCCCAGTGATGTAATGCATCGGGCAGATGCTATTTTTAGGCACACTAGTACACTTAGCATCAGCACACAGGGCTATCGATCAGCTGCACAACTCACTGGGAGGATGAGAGCTGCAACCAGCAGCAGCAGCAGCAGCACCAAGTAGCTGCACCAAAATACTATGTCTCCTCTGTGCAGCTTGTTGTTGCAGCATTTTGCTGATCTATTTCTCTGGCCTTACAATTCAACAGCAATGTGTTGTTTTGGTGGAGTTTTTCACTGCATCATGTTAAGATTTGTTTTTGCAACTGCATTTACAACATTTTTTCAACTTTTTTTTTTTTTGACGAGACTGTTTACTGTCAGCGTCTGTGTCATTTCCCACTGCTGAGATAACGTTGAAAAACAAGCATTTGGTGTCGTTCACGTCTGGTTATTATATCAAAAGGAGGTTAAATCGTGTCTAAAGAGAAGTAAAGTCGTTCCCAAGGCAGCAACATATCTGGAACAAAAGCAACAACAGTGAACAGACTGTCTCTTAGGTGCTTCAAGGCCAATAAACAAACGGGAGTTCTGTGATTGGACATTGAGCTGAGGGGATGAACAAATAGTTCAGGCTGGAAGTCTTTGACCTGATGGCAAGGTCTATGGAAGACGAGTTGCTTTTCTTCTGTTCTTAATTGTACTTTCAAAGCCTTTTCACAACCTCTGTCTCCTGCAGTCATATCTTTTTTATCTCCCTTTCTAGGTATGTTTGCTCTCTCTTTCACTCTCTCATTTGCTTTTTGGCAATTTCCTGGGTGCTGATGAGAACATTGTGTTCATGAGGCACCTTGCTGATATTTAATCTTTGTTTAACTGTATTAGCAGGCATACAGGCGTTATTTACGTGAGTTTGGGTGATTCCTGTTTTACCAGACACAAGAGCATGCAAACGCAGGCATAACACACACACCTCACCGACAGGACATGTATTTAGATCCTGCACTTCGTCCCAACAACACCTCCCAGTCTCTGCTTTGAATAAGTCTCTAGCCTGAGGGTCTAGACAGGTCGACTCCTGGTGTCTTATTCAAAAGAAAAAAAGGCCCGAGGACAAAGGACAGAGCAGTATCTGGAGCCCTGATAAACTCCACCTGTCAGCTCCCCACCCTACTTACCTCTCCTCGTGGCGGGTCACCACTACTACAATGCTGACATGTATATATCCGTGTTACTCTCACAATGGATCGGCCACAGTGACCCTTATACCTACTTAACTAACTTCCGCTAATAAGTCTCCACAAAGGCCACATCTACGTCAATGTCAGAGCTTTATTTAAATGACTTGACTCATCCGGCTGTTTTCCACTGCAGTAACTTAATGGGCCGACTGAACCTGTAGAGCCTCTTTTACAGCTGCTTTCAGGGGAGAAAAAAAGTCCCTACTGCTGGGTAGGTACTTCTGATAAGTTACGATGCTCACTGATGAAACTCGGAAAGGACACCCCCTCTGATTGTTCTCACTGAGCGACAGTCTTCTCCACTCAGACGTTGCCATCAACACCATAAAAGCCACCATATGGGCCATCATAACAAACCCTCTATTGTTTTATTCCCTACATGCCTATAGAGCTTGAGTTAAGTCCTCTAACTGCTATTTGTTGTCCTTTTGGCACAGTTACGGGGTTGTTCCTGTAAATGTTCGCACCGCCTCACGCCTGATAAGAGTCCCTGCAGTGGAAAGCCACCTACTGTAGTCTTTTTACCATGTTGATGCCTCAATAAGGATCAAACAACAGGTGTAGGAACAACACCAATAAATGACAGATGGGTGTAGTTTGATTCGTCTGAGCAGCACTCCCTTCCATTCTCATAGGTGACAATACAATATGCTCACCTCATGAATACTGCATCTTAGAACTTATCATGTGAACAATCGTCTGTAAATATGAGGTTTCATTCTGTCATAAAATGTCATAAAACCTCCTCTGTCCTCGTCCCACCTCCCTCCGTTCTCTTTTACCTTAAAGTTAGCGCTGCACGTTTCATCCAGTTTGTTTGTCCAGTGAGTCATTTGCTCCCTTATCTCTGCAACACCTTGTTTCACCTATCCGTTTTAGAATCACGATTACCTGTAGATTTATTAACAGATTCCAGTTAATGCCAAACTTTGGTTACAGGAAGCATGGGCTGATTTATCTCTAGCAGAGAAAAATATGACATGTAGAAATGAATTTAGTAGTTAACGTAGCTTTTGGTTGTATATACAGCTGCATGTCCAGCCCTGGTATTTGAGCACTATGACATGAAGTGTGATACATTAGCCAGACCTAAGCGAGCAATGACAATAGAGTATTATGTAATAGGCAAAAAGCAATAAAAAGTCAGGTCAAATTCCTGTCTGTATACTTGTGTGTGTGTGTGTACTTGTCTATGTGCCAGCCTGTTTAAAGGCTTGTTTGAAAAGGCAGATGGCGTCCAGACAAGCTCTAATCGAAACGGATCTTTATGAGATCCACCCTGTTACCTATTAACATGGTTCATCATACCGGTTCACCTGGTTTCTGTTTTTGACCTGAGACTTATAGTTCCTCGCTGAGGGTAAGCTTAAGGACACAGACTCACGCACATCTGGAGGGCAGCTGTCTGCTAGAGAGGCTACTCAAGTCACTGCACATACTCCTTTCAGCCCACTTTTCCCTCAAGTGCCATTTCTGTCTACCTGTTATGTCATCGTGTCACCACAGTACAGTGGATGCAATCTCTGTCGTTATGAGGAATTGTCATGAAAGGTTACAGTAAACTCGTGCGAGGGCTTTGCTAAAAAGCTGGCCCATGTTAAGATCTAGACTGGCGTTTGATAGTATTGCATGTATGGTAGATAAAGCCAGAATCTAAATTAGAGCAAACACATAATCATTAAAGGGGACGAGCTGAGCAATTGTCAGTGATTGTTACAACCTCTAGCCAGTGTTTGACTTCACAAAGTTAGCACCTGTTAAACAAACGTGTGCATGTACTGTTTGACTAAGATTATGTGTTTAGTATCCTGCACTTCATACAGCGTCTCTCACTTGGTAGTATCCCCATTGTTTTGCTTTTGAGACAATATGCGCTGTATCATACTGCGCCTTTGGCAACATAAGGCTAACTCTGCCCAAAACACACAACCCCACTGCATAATCCTTGTTCCCATAAGCCACCTGAAATGCTTCCCGATTCTGGCGCAATTCCAGGTTGTTCAGGCACGAGTTCTCTTCCTGTGCCGTTCCTCCCACTCACACCCTCCGGGGCTTGGAGCACGGATGGGAAACTGACTCATGATTCTTATTTTTCAAAAAAAAAAAAAAAAGGCCTTGACTTTTCCCCTTAGTCAGCAAGAGGAAGCAGACAGAGTTAGTAAGAGCTGGAAAATCCAGGATTGGCTATATTGGGTTTCCCTAATAGGTTTTTAAATTGTAAGAAAATAGGACAGAACAGAATTTTAAAATAAATAAAGAGGAAGAGAAGAAAGCTGAAAATAATCTTTAAATGAAAGCGAAATAAGAGAAAAGACATTTGAGGAGCGATGATGTTGACGTCAACCTGCTCAAACGGGCAGTGTTTATGGTGTCATTTAAAGGGTATACCACTTATTACCAGTCATTGTTAGGAGGAACCGCAGCACAAAACAAGTCTGTATGTATAAGGAAAACAGGCCACATCACAGATCACCTTGCTTACTTGGTTGCTATAGAGACTTTCTAGGAAAAAAGGGTGTAACCACAGGGTGTTGCCAGTATACTTTCTATATAATGTGTATTCTAGTGCAAAGAGCTTTTCTGATCTGTCTTCAAACCCATTTGCTTGGCTATCGTATGTGACTGTACTAACCAAGCTGATTACAGTACATGTGGGCCTGGATGCTACTTAAGAGTAAAATATATTCACTGCTAAGCACCTTCCTTTATATCCGAAGCCGTGTCTGCTACTGTACACTCCTGACTGTTGAGTGTAATGAATATAATTTAGGTAACATTTGACACCAACTTATCATTCTTCCCACATCCCTCGGCTCCTGCTGTCTTCCATTCACCCTCTCCCTGGTCCGTGGCGCTGGCTGGCAGCGGGCCGAAAAGCTGCAGGTTACGTAACAATCGCCCGGCTGAATTGGCATCAGAGGTTAATGAAGCTCTCTGATGGACGGCAGAGCAGCAGTATTTTTTTGCTGCCCTCATGGGTTTTCTACACAATCCTGCGTCCAACATTACAAATTGAATTTTGGCCCTGATGCATTTCCGCCTACAAAACTCTCTCACCTATCTCTCTCTTGCTATCTTTTCTACCTCACACACACACACACACACTTTCCACAAGCTGTTTTCTGTTCTGATTCTGCAATGCCCTTTTATTCGGTTATTTTTTTTTGGGAGAAGTGCAACACCCACACATTTTTGCAAATCTTTGTGTGTGTGGGATGATTTGAAAGAACATATTTGTCAGTGTTGTTTATATTGTTGATGTTTTTGTTTTTTTGTTTCTTCGCTTCTGCCTGCATAGCTTGCTGCATGGTGATGTAACAGGTCTGCAGAATGGGATGGCTCTCTTTTGGACGGGGGGGCGGAGGGGTATCTCAATCCTGCTGTCTCTGTTAAAAATGTATAAACTATAACACAAGAAATAAATGGCCTCATGCACAATATGACCTGCTGACACTGCAAGTATGCCACCTGTGCGTGTGTGTGTGTGTGTGTGTTCCAGGTAGTTATGCAAAATGTCACAGTGTTCCCCAAAAACAATACATTGTGTGCAATTGCGGTAAAAACTTGCTGCTGCTGCTGCTCCTTACAGTAAAAAATGAAAGGCTCATTTACACACAGTGGTAAATGATCCTAAATGTGTATTTTCTCCCTTTTTTTTTCTCTCTACAGATTTGTTTCCTGGTGTCAGCTTTCCGTGGCCGAATGTTCTCAGAGGACAGCTGTGCTGCTCTGGCGCTCTTCTCGCACTATTTCCATCTCAGTCAGTTCTTCTGGATGCTCATTCAGGTAATGCCAGGCTAACAAGCAACACAGGACACATCTGATTGTATTTTTTTGAAGTAAAAGCGTAACTCTGTGTATGATGATACCAACATATTTGGGAATAGACGTTATTATTACCTTTTGATTTCTACAGGGACACCAGATGGCAGTTAGAAAAAATGTTTTACTGTAATGGTCCCATTGTTTGAGAGATTGTTTTTTTTTTGACAATGAGATATTGTTCTGTTTTTTGCTTATTTACCTGGGAGGGGAAAAGGTACGTGCAGAAGACTTGTAACTGCTTCTTCTGTGTCATTATATAAAGCTGCGTCACTTCAGTACACTAAAATATGATCATTTTGATTTTGTCAGCATAGTTTTCTGCAGTTACCAATAAGGTTTCTTCTTGCACAGGAATCAGGAATTAGTTTTCATATCAAATAGAATTCTTATTGAAGGACACATTCTAAGTGAAATGCCCTTAGACATCCTTAGACAGGATTCACATTCTTTCTTTTGTCTCCCTACACTGAGCATGAGTTTTTTTATGCAATTAGTTGTGAAACTTCATTCCTATACCACGTGAGCTGGGGCAGGTTTTCTTTAGGGGGCGAGATGAAGGTACCAGAACGCTGCATGACATGACCTTTGACCTCAGACTGGTACGACTTAGTAACACCTCACCCCAGTCAACCCCTAACTCCTCCTACTTGACCATCTGGCCTCTGTTTCATTTTGCTCTCTCTTTTGTGTCGTAATCGCCAACAACAAAGCCACTCAGGCGACCTAAAGACTTGATTTTCGCTGACAGCTAGAGTCTAACTGACATCAAAAGCTGATCTTTTCAATGCTTGATTTAAATACCAAAATATCAGACTTTTTTTTTTCTGTCTCAACCATACATTAAAGCCTAGAATATGGTTTTAAATTGGCGGTGTAAATCTCTTGTAAGCCAATTTTAATCCTTCAAAGAGACTATACATCATTTGTGACCTGCTCAGAGAGCACAGGAATGTGTTGAACATAACCTAGAATTCTTTAGCAGCCCCTCCAGAGAGTACAACTGCCCCAGGGATAGACCTTTTACCTCAGATGATCCTCCTCATCCAAATCCTGCACCAGAGGAAAACAAATGTATTTACGTACTTAAAGTAATTCCTTGTTTGTTTGCTTATTTTTTCAGGGTTATTATCTTTCTTAAACAGTCCGATTAAACAGATTTCAAACAAATCAGAAGCTATGAGAAGATTTACCTTTTGGAAAACATCCACTGAGCTTGACTAGTAGAACAATGCTGTATTATTTGGCTTATATTAATGGCTTGTGTTTTATGTATTGACTGTAGAAATTACGGCAAACCAAGGTATAATCAATTCATGGTAGCTGCCTGTGATAAGAAAACTGCAGTGAGAGTTCAGACTGAAATATTATTTTAAGTGTAAAGGTAAGAAATGTGATTTATTGCCATCATAAATCAAAATATCTTAAATCTGTTATTCTGTGCGCAATCTCGAATTAGATAACAAGAATGCCTTCAAGTCAGTCGGGGGGATAAGGAAAAGTTCCACTACATAAACACGGCAACACACATTCTACCAGTATGTGTTGTGCTCGACCTGTGTCCTGTCTCCCATTTTTTACTCCTGTTATTCTCCTGACGTTTTCTGTGACGTACACAAGGAATCGTAGTTTATGTAGTGGACATAATCTTTCCTGCCAAATGTAATATTATTGGTGCAGTGTAACAAGATTAGCTCTTGAATAAGCTAATGGAGACTGACCACAATAGGGCAATACTTGAACCACGCAGTGCCGTACGTGCTGAATGTGCGCAGCGCCTTTCATATCTGATCGCTTACCGACTGACTTCTGAGACATCTTAAGGGATAAAGGCTCAGGCCAAAGGCTTTCACATGGCTTAAGGAGTGTTAGAATTTGGATGACGAGAAATGGAACCGAGATGAAATGCTCTGTGACGTACGGACTGGTTTTCGACACACGTGGTTATAGTTAGTGCGCTAGCAGAGCTGACTAGATCAAGTGGAGGAAACATAAACAATGATTCACCCTAGAAGGAATACAAATAGGAATACAAATTGGACGGGAGAAAGAAAAATCGCTTGTTTTCCTCCGTACGCTCAGTCACTCGCTCAGAGATTTACTTTTTCATAAATTGCCCTTAACACTGCTGCCAAAAAGCATCTCTGGTATTTCTTGATTGTCAGCAACTATAGTAGCTGACAAGGAAAATATTACTGCCACTCTGGCTTTCACTGATGTGTGGCACTAAAACCCTGCTGTCCTCACCGCCGTCTCCATATCGACCCCACTGATGTCTCACCGCTCATTTTTCCCTCCTATCAGGTAGCTGCTTTCAGATAAGTGGCTGATATGAGTGGGCGCCAGCAGCCCATCTCAGACCATGAAGAAGACTTCAATCAATACCAGCAGTGTGTGTGTGTGTGTGTGTGTGTGTACGTGAGAGTGTGCATGTCCAATAATTGGTCAGGGGAATAAGCACTGACATAATGCAAGAAAAAAAAAAACACCCAATAATTGAATCACTATCCAGACCAGCTATTTCTTGACTGCAGAAGCTCGCAGAGGCAACCTGGGTTTACTTTAAATCTGCATTGTATTACATAACAATACAGCTATCTGCCAAAGTCTTGGTGCTGGCCCACTGTGAGTTTTTACCCTGTTTCAATGTGCTAATCAAACAGCCAGAGTGCTAAATTCACAGCTTTGTATTACCTGTAACACCTGCCAGCTTTTTTACAAGCGTACAAATGTGTTTGATTGTGATAATGGATGGACAAGAGACCAGCAGTCAATCAGTCCTGTGGACAGACAGGCAGACAGGGACTTTTCCATACACTGCTTCTGCTTCATCTCAGAACACAAAAATCATTTCCAGTTTTTGTTTTTTGTTTTTTTATCCCGATTTTAAGATTTTTACTCCCTCGCAGTTCCAATCTGAACAATCCGTAGAACACAACAGCAACCATTTTAGAAGTCACTCAAGTTTTGTTTTTATGACTCGTCAACGTGTCCATATGTCGTTTTTATGCTGGAGGACACATCAGGAGTGAAATGAGTTAACGCTGCTGTTGAGCAGTTCCCCCAATTCCTGCAGTGTAGCAATGACTGTCTCAAAAACATGGATGCAAACTTCTGGGGTTTCATACATAACAAACCTAAGAAACCAACCCTTTCTGTTTTTAGGGTAGAGCCTACTGTATCATTATTCTCCTTCAGAACTGCTTTCCAATTTGAACATGTGTGGCTGGAATACTCCGATGCTCCAAGTAGCAGAGGAGCAGATGGAGAGAAAGTATTGGACTCTTTAGTCTAAGCTATTTGAGGGCAGGAAAAACGTAAAATGTATAATTCTGATACAAAGAGATGAGTTTTGGGGGTTTAATCAATGACCAGAGAAAGATTTCAATAGAAAGTAGGTCCAGTGTAACAGTTCATTACTAGGCCAGTGGATTATTAATAATCAGAAGGACATTGTCTCTATAAAGGCAAAGTGCTATTGAATTTTTTTGTTCTCAGCACCATTGCCTCGCAGCAAGAAGGTCGCCGGTTCATGTCCCGGTAGGGGCATCGGGATCTTTCTGCGTGGAGTTTGCATGTTCTCCCTGTGCAGCGTGGGTTCTCTCCGGGTTCTCCTGCTTCCTCCCACACAGTCCACAAACATGTTGAGGTTAATTTGTGATTCTAAATTGTCCGTAGGTGTGAATGTGAGTGTGCTTGGTTGTCTGTCTCTAAGTGTAGCCCTGTGATAGACTGGTGACCTGTCCAGGGTGTCCCCTGCCTTTACCCTAAGTCAGCTGGGATAGACTCCAGCCCACCCTTGGTGACCCGAGTGAGGATTAAGCGGTGTATAGATAATGGGTGGAATGGATTTTTGTGTTCTGTGTTTTTCATTGCTGTGAGAACCATTAAGAAATTCTAGTAACTCCTGTTGTATGTGTCACATTCCTCAAAACTTGCACTAAATGCAACCCATACATGTGTGGTCTCATACCAATAGATACACATAGAAAATGTATATTTTTTGTAGTCAGCTCTTCAGAAAGGTAGTAATACTAGTCAGCAAGCATGCTGATAGGTACCCCAGCCTGGTATCACAGTCCTTTATATTTTAGTATCAACAGTCAGTGAGGGATGCAGCCACTGCAGAGGAAACAGCTCAGCACAAAGTTACCTATAATCCATTTACTGCACCTCAACAGCTCCAGTCTGCTCGCTGAATCTGACTGACTTCCCCTTATTGTGTCAGAGTAGGGCAGTCAAGCCGTTACACAACTGAGGCCCTTCAGCGCTGCACACATGTGCCTGTGCGTGTTTCTGTTCGTACTTGTGTTTTTCGTGCAGCGTGGTCCGTTGTGTCAGTACTTATACAATATAGTTATGGTTATAGCCGAGACAGAGTTATCTGAGGGAAAGGCCAGCATCCTTTAACCTCCTGTCATTAGTTGCATCACATTGCCCTCTATGCAAATGTCCTGCTCGAGTCTTGTTCAGTGCAAACAGATGGACAGAAAGATCATCAGCTGTTATTCATTATAGCTGTTGACCTGCTGCATACATTTTGATTGCACGTCTTCTTTTTAAATGAAAGGAAATACTGAATACATATCTTTATTTTGACAAGATGGAGTAAAGAGGAGCGGTTTGCCGTCGGTTTAAAAATGTAAAATTCACCGTTGCTCTTTGCTCTCCCCGGTGCAGCAGCTGCATTAGTCTTAATACATGGATGAGACATTGTGCTTGTGTTTCAATCAACAGGTGCTCAGAAAAGCCGCTTATGTAACAATGCATGGCTTAGTGTATCAGATGGATGAGACTATGAAAGCCTGCCGGAGTACAAAGCAAACACAGTTATTTTGGGTGTGATGTAAGTGGGGCTGTTCATGTTTGTTTTCACCGTCTATAAGAACCAAATGTCCTCACAAGCAAAGAAAGCTGAAAAATCCTCAACTTTCTAGACATTTTGCCGTTTGTGATAACGCCGTTCTGCTGCTGTAGATTTAAGAGAAACTTTCCACGACAATTGTTTGTGTTGGGGCATATCTTTCGTCTTCCTGTTCACATTCCTAGTACGCTCGTTGTTTTCTCAAACTGTCTCCTCAGGCGGTGAACTTCTGGCAAGTTTTGGTGATGAATGACGAGCACACAGACCGTCGACATCTTCTGTACTTCATACTGGGCTGGGGTCTTCCTGGTCTGGTCATCATCGTCCTGGTCATCGTGTTGCTCGGCGGTTTCGGGTGGACCATACACGCCGTGTATGGACAGGTGCAAGGAGACGTGTGAGTGTACATTGCGTCTAAATACATGCACAAGCGGTCTTTTTAGAACTGATGAAAGGCACATGGAATCGATTCAATTCTAACGTAATCTGTTTTCATGCTCGTGGGTGTTTTTTTTAAAACTGTTGGTGACTACAGTTGCTTTTTTAAGCTTTGGGAAATTCCACTTCAGACTAGAGGAGAGCGAATTTAAAAAAAAGAAAAAAGAAAAAGCACCTGAAGCAGTGACATCATATGAGGAGGTAGCTTGCCCAATCAGCTGAATGAATAAATGAATAGGTTTCAGTGTGATGCGTGCGTCTGCCCACACTGAAACTTGACTCTTTACCTTGGAGGTGGAGCCTTTCAGAAAGCGTGCTGTACAGAGCTATATATAACCGTTGGCCATCTATATATAAAACACCTAAAACCTAGAACACAACAGATGAAATCATTTTTTAAAACCCGCACAATGGTGCCAGGAAAGGTGTAGCTTTAAATGTATGCCTGTGGGGCCGTCTTTTCATGCACTCCAACAAGTGTGCGTGACGAGCAAAGCCAAACACTTATGAAGTTTAAAACCCCCCTAAATCACAGCTAAAATTAGTCAGTGGTCTTAGGTGCGGCTGTTATCCTTGGGATCACGAGTGAATGCGCGTTTCCTGTGGGTGGCTGTGAGACAGTCAGTGTACACATGAGAGGTTTAAGGACACAGAGGAGTATTCAATTTCCAGGGAGGCATGCCTTCCTCTTTGAGGGAATGAGGCAGTCTTTGAATTCATTTCCCTTCACTCTCTCGCTCTTTCTCTTCCCTCATCAGTGTAAACAGGTAGCCTCTTGTTTCTCACCACTCTACTTGTCTCAGTTTCACCCTGCCTGCGCACAAGCAAGTGTCACGCTCAGACCTCACGTCATCAGGCATTTTTGTATCATATATATTGTATTTGAGCAGTAATTGAAGACGTGTGCGGCATGTATATTTTAACAGCAGCGATTCATTAAGTGCAACACGTTTTTTTGTGCAGAAAAAAACAACAGTTTGAGAACACTTCTATACAAAGTAAGTTAAACCAACTACCAACAACTACACTGGGTCAGAGGAATCAGTTTTTTCTCTATAGTCTATAATTGAATCAGCTTTTTCTCTATAGTATTTTTAAATATCAGCCTTAACTATCTTAAATTGAGGGGACTTCATTTTCTTAACTCTTTTTTTTTATTATTATTATTTTTATTTTTTGGCCTTTTTGCCTTTATTAGTCAGGATAGCAAGACAGTGAAGGGGGGAGAAGAGGGGGGGAGGACATACAGCAAACGTGAGCGGGAGTCAAACTCACGACCGCTGTGTCAGGGAACTACAGCCCCTGTTTATGGGTCGCCCAATCAACCAGGTGAGCCATAGGGGCGCCCATATAATCTTAACTCTTGAGAAGACAAACCTTACATTAACCTGAATTTAGTTCTAAATCAACTAATGCAGACATTTGAGTTTAAATTACACGCAATGTTAAGTTAATGCAATTATCAAAATCAAGTCAACCCAGCAAAATAAGGTTTGCAACTTCAAAGGTTATCTAAAGTGGTAAATTTCTTTTGTTTTAATCTTACAACCATGCATTTTAAGTGTTTGAAAAAGGTCACTTCTATTAATTTTTATTGTGTAGAAAGTTTATGAAAATGGGTGGATATATGAAAGCAGAATACTTTATAAAAGTATGAAACCACAGCGTTGTTACCCCTTTTTTCTCCTTGCTTATGTCTTGATTCCATATTTTTCACATCCTCTATCTCATATGTACTTTGTCCTTAACCTTAGCTGCAGTGAGTGTGCTATAGCTTCCCTTCATCTTACTTGGTCTCACATTATGGTGCTGAGTGCTCCTGTTACCTCTTTACTGGGACACATCGGTGGTACAACTTTGAATGAAGTAGACACACCTCTTAAATTTTACAAACCTGTCTTTAATTCAAGTGTCGGTGAAACAAAAACTGACTACATTAAAACCTGAGACAATTAAATTGTGAGATGAAGGGTGAGGAGAAAATGTATTCCTAATTGTAGACAAGAAAAAGTACAATTTAACATTTACACCAAAGCAGAATGCAGTCCTCTCTCACTTATTGCGTTACCCATGCACAACTGATCAGCAGAAGCGGTCATAAAAATTTCACTACAGATGCATCACCCGGTTGGCTTCTGCTCGAGCGGCAAATCCCATCTGGATTTAAATGAGCTGTGTCTGACAAGCTCTCATTTTAGTCAGAAATGACAAACTGTGTTACACGGACACGCTGGTTCATCATTAGTTTGGCTACAGTACAACCAGACTGTTGCTCTATCTAGTTTTATCGTCTCACTTGTAAAAATATACAGTTACAACTCGAATGTCTTATTATCATATTATGTAAGCAAAAAGTTACCACAGACCCTCGTGTGTTGCTCAGAGAAAGATTTATTTGTATTTTAATTACTTAAAATGCAATGTTCTGCACAGAAGGATCAGAGCTTAAGCTACCCATGACCTCACACTGCCGCATATGTAAAGAAAACATCACAGCAGCGTTTCTATGAAAATCCGCCATAAAAGGAATTGCTCACTTTATTTCTTCTCTGCCAAACCATTAAGTCAGGGAATGATGCCCCTGGGTAATGTTTTCTTCCTCCACTTCAGGAATCCCTGGGATTTCTCCTTCTTGTGAGACCTTCAGTACAGTAGAATCTCAACCCCTCACAAGGCCACAGCAGAACAAATATCCATATTCCAGTGTATTTAGACTCGTGGTCTGGTTGTCTTTGTGGGATGGGGTGATGCAATGCTGTATTTGGCATACTTCATGCTGTGTTATGGCTAGCATACAGCTAATTATTTTTCTGCAATTACTCCAACCTGCAGAGGTCCTATCTGTATTTGATGCTCCCACCAAACCAGGCCCTGAGTCTGTTTTGTGAAAAGGACACAGTCACATGAGTGTTTTGCTTGTTCTTTGGCAGTTACAGTTTATATGGGCGTGTTGATTTTCCCAGAGCAAAATATTTCACTCAGTTTTCTTTAATAAAGATAAACGAGACTGATTGGAGGAAGCTGGGAAAGAACTCCTGAGATTTCCTTGAGAAACAACAAAGACAAACAGTGAACTAGCAACTCAAACCAACATACAAATTATCAAAAGAAAAATAACTTGACCGTAGTAAAAAGATAAAATGAAATTCTACTTTATCAAGGAATAAATTTCCTTTTGACCTTTTAGAATTTGTATTACTCTGTTCTCAGAGAAATTCCTCCTTCACCTGCAGGCCAGGATCAGCAGATAAATTCACATAAGCACTCCACATTCATCTCCCTTTCAAGGGAGGAGATAAGTATTGTGTAATTTGTTCCTTGAAACGTTCTTTCGTACTTTATGAAGGAAAACAATTTTAAGCATCTTTAGCCTTGGATATTATCCTGCTGTAGCTGCAGGGTGACCTGGTTGTGCAGAAGAGTTAAAAACATGCATGTTGAGCTGGTGCTGTTCAGCAACAATCCGGTGAGTCTTAAGCGGGCTCAGAGGTCTCAGTGAGCAGATCCTGTTTGTGAAACTAGAGGAAACAAAGTCTTAGGAGCAAATATAGTGCAATGAATGCTTTTGATATGTTTTCCTTTTTGCAGAGCTTAGCTCTGAGATCGAAGCACCAAATTTATTTAATGCTTTTTAGCCTGACTGTCTCTTGTCTCACCTTGCATTTCAATTTTTATTTTTTTAATTGTCTATGATGGAATTGTTTTTTTGTTGTTGTTTTTTTTTTTGTAAAAGAAATGTATACAAAGGCAAAACCTGTCACTCACGTTTCTGTCCTTCCCTCCTCTAGGTGCTTTATCCCAAACATCTATGCAGCTCTGTGCACAGCAGTGCTGGTGCCGCTCATCTGTCTAGTTGCAGTGGTGGTTGTATTCATCCATGCCTACCAGGTTACTGATCAATGGAAGGCCTACGACGACATTTACCGCGGACGGACCAACAGCACAGGTAACCAGTAAACCTGAAAATATATAAATAATAGCACAAACACACACAAATCTATTAATTTATACATAACACATGTGCATGTACTTTCATTGGTACAAATATGCGTACACATACAGAAAGAACTGGACAGTGATGTGGCTATGTGTACAATCACACAATCTAATACTCTTTCTGTTTCTCTTACTGCACTTGTACAAACACCACAAAAACAAGTATGATGCCCTCAGGATCTAAACCGCTTCCACCCGTATTCCTGTCAAAAATGTTCAGCCCCTATTTTGCTCAGCTTACTGTCTCTGTCTGATGTCCTTGATACAGAAAAACAACAGCAACAAAGCATTCTCAGTACCTTTTGTTAATGAAGTAATGCTCACAGTCTCACTTCTATTCAGCCATGGCACTTGTTCCACTTTACAGATGGAAGAATTGAACTCTATTTAAAGTCTAGACACTCAGGTGTGCTTTGAGTTTAAACAGCAATTTCAAACCATATCTAGTGTATGTCAATTTCAATTTTGAACACATGTTTGAAGTTACATAAAATACTAAATACACTGAATGCAATATATGTAGTAAGATGTGTCCTCTATGCAACATTCTTGTTTGCACAAAAATAACCATCACCGAGTTATGTCCAGAATGAGTCAGTGCTATTTATTCACTGCAGTCAGTCACTTCGCCCACACATGAAGATCCGAGCTCAACCACTTCAGTGCCTCATCATCATGGCTGTAATCAGTGGCCATCAGTGAGAATCAGCAGGCTTTATCTTGTTTTGCTCAGTCACGGCCCTCCAATGACAAAGCAAAGCCTGAATTAGTGCCAGTCCTGTAGCTGGCGAGAGTTTGCCCGACACACTGTGTGTGGCCTCTGAAGTAGTGCAGGAAATCAAAACAGTGCTTTGCTGAGCTGCAGGTAGGTGTCAATTTTTAACAAGACCGCAATACTTACTCACAAACCAGACTGAGGCTAAAGGCCAGCTTGTTGGATTTTTCCTTGACAGGAACATTTTACCTTTGGGGACAGTGTGGAGAGCAGAGTTCAAGAGCGGTCAGGACAGGTGTGAGGGATAAGAAAATAAGGAATGTGGCACTGGGCTGTATGGTGATTGAGAAGCAAACAAGGGTTCAGGACATTGTGTGATTCTTTATTTACCCTTTAAGCGAGACAACAAGAGAACAAATGCAGTGGACCGGTAGACCAACACGAATGTGGCACGAGACCTGGGCACGGCCCCTTTTTGTCCAGTTTTGTTTTGAATGCATTCATTTGGAACTCAGATGAATTCAAAAACATAGAATTGGCAGCATTGTAATTTTGTAATAAAATTCATTGAGCAATTTGTCAGTGTTGACTGCAGTGTTCTATCTGGACACATAAGGACACAATACAACCCCAAATCCATATGCAGATACACACCAGTCAGTCACAACATCACAACTATCAACAGGTGAAGAATAACCTCGATCATCTCATCACAATGCAATGCTTGTAAACCTTTGATCATAGTAACCATGTGAGCATTTTTTTGACACGTACCTCACACCTAGACAGTGTGTGTTACGTGCCAAAGTAGAAGCCATGCGGCTATTTCTTTGGCACGTACCTCCCACCTAGACAGTGTGTGGTACGTGTATACTACACAGAACATGCCAGATCTATGGAGGCTCCACCCCACCACCAGCATGACCCAAAAGATCTGCATGATTAAAGCTGCTTTAGCATGAGTTGGACCTGCACAATGTGAGGCAAGTGGTTTTAATGCTGAGCGTACAAGCATAGACAACATGCACACAAAAAGTATTACTTGCATTTAGTTGTTTAGTTTTCTTTTTCTTTATTTTTGCTTTTTTCAGAGTGCGCAAAGTCTTTGCAATATGTCAATATTGGCTTTGTTTCAACACATCCAGAGTCCAAAGGAGGTTGTGCAGGCTAAATATATTTATGAAGGCTAAATATATTTTAAACAGCTATACATTAGCTATTTTGCGTTGTTATGCGGTGAGCTTAACCTTGATGCTCCCAACCAGCAGAACCTGTGGAATGCCATTTAGACAATGAATACTGAGGTCACGTTTTTTTTTCAGGTCTACAGTTCCTTCCTACAGCCAACAACTGGCATGATAAGCTAAGGGCTAATCTGTGTCTGCGTGTGTGTGCGTGCATGAGTGTGGGAATCCCACATGTAAAACTCACCGGGCTGTGTGAAATATATCAGGACTCCTGCTGTCAGTGAAATCAAGCGAGTGTGCCAATGTGTACTTTGTGCACGTTACCTCCCAATCTGCAGACACCTGAGGCACAGGCACCTCAGAACATCTGCCACTGTGCCCCAATATAAGGCTTCCCAGCAAAAACACCAAAAAATAAACTAACAAAACTTTAAGAGAAAAAATGCATATTATAAGCAAATCAGTAAATCCTTCTCACAGCCCCGGCTGAATCCAAGACATGAGGTTCTTTTGTTACACCATTGAGGAGATTTTCAGTTTAACACAGAACAGATCTGAATGAATCACAATAATAAGTTATTATTCTGTTTTTACGGCATCAGCTGTTTCCTGTTTGCACTTTGATCACTGATTCATCAGGAATGCAGAAATAAACACGCGTGAAGGTTTGATTGGACACTGATGTATTACTGGCTTTATATGGTTGAACCTGCGCAGTTGCTTCATTTGGATGGCAGATGTGTTTTTATTTTGATCTCATAGATTCTTGCAACTCTTCTTTAGATGTTCTTTACGGTCAGTTAAGACTTGACTTAAGCTTGATGTTTCCAAACAGCTCAGATTCATACAGAACTTGTAGGATGTCTGATGCCATTTGCACAACAAATATTGAGGTCACCTTTTCAAATTCCTCACTACAGCCAACAACTGGTATGATAAGCTATAGGCTAATCAGTGTATGTGTGTGTGTCTGCATGTGTGGGAGTCCCACATGTAAAACTCACAGGACTGTGTGAACTATACCAGGACTCCTGCTGTCAGTGAAATCAAGTGAGTGTGCCAATGTGTGCTTCGTGCACCGTCCTGCCAACCTGCAGTCACCTGAGGTACAGGCACCTGTTATCCACAGAGCGGAGCTGAATGAATGACCATGATAAATAATTGTTCAGTTTTTATGGCATCGGGTATTTCCTGACTGCACTTCAATCATTGATTGGTCGGGAATTTGAAAATAAACAAATACACGTGATGGACAATGTTTGATTGCAGAGTGTTGTATAAGTTGCTCAATGTGTTTTGTATCCACACAGTTGCTTCATTTGAATGCCAGACACGTGTAAATGTTTCACTCTCATTATTAAGACTGAAGTGCAAACTCTTGCGTAATGTTCTTTTCAGTGGGATGGGATTGGATTAGTTTTTTCGTGCCGAGTTTTACTACACGTATGTTATGGAGAACATGAAGCACACGTCAAAAATATTCAGCTTTATGTACCTCTAAAAAGTATTCACCCCTCTTAAGAGTTTTCCCCTTTTATTGCTTCTCAACTGTGAATCATAAACAATTTAATTTGGCTAATTTGACAAGAACACTGTCTACGTGTTACCCCTTTCGTTTCATAGTGAAAACAGAAAACAGTATCATGTCAGTGCATTAAAAATGTAAAATGTAAAATAAATAACTGCATAAGTACTCAATCCCTTCAAGTCTGTATTTAGCAGATGCACCTTAAACATGTTCAGCCTTGCACATCTGAACATTGCAATCACACTCTAAAACTTTAAAAGCTCTGCCAGGTAGCACCGACAAAGCTTTGACTGGTAAACAACCCGGGCAACGGCTGTATGCACAGTCGCTCCCATTTCAGCTACTGAAGCAGAGGAGTCATAAGTGTCTTGGTGGCCTTTCTAACTAGTCTTTTTCCTGCATGGTCACCAGTTATTGAGGACAGCCTGCTCTAGGCAGATTTACGTGTGTGCCATATTCCTTACATTTCCTAATGACAGATCTAAATGTAATCCAGCAGATATTCAGTGACTTGCAAACTTTCTTGCATCCATGTCCTGACTTATGCTTTTGAATAACCTTTTCATGGAGTTGCTTGGAGTGTTCTTTTGTCTTCATGGTGTAGTTGTAGCCCCGAGTACTGATCCCTCAGTGACTGGACCTTCCAGATACAGGTGTCTTTATAGTACAATCACTTGAGACACATTTACTACAGTCAGATGATCTCCATTTCACTAACTGTGTGACTTCTAACGCTGACTGGCCAGTACCTGTGTTGAATCAGGTGTCACTTTAAAGTGGTGAATACATGTGCAATCACTAATTTACATTTAAAAATGTTAAATAATTGACATTACCTTGTAGAAATCCATTTTCAGTTTGACATAAATGAGTCTTTTTTAAAAATATATTTTCAGCAAAAAAAAAGAATTGAATATATCATGATTAAATGTTGAATAGCAATAAAAGTAGAGAACTATATTTGGTTATGTAAGGTTAGGGTTTTTGAATTTTGATTTTTGGTTTCCTGAATTTCCTCTATGGGGATCAATAAAGTCTTATCTTATCTTATCTTACCTTATTGTTTCGGTTTTATTTTTGACAATACCTCGTTCCCTTTGTTAATCATTCCCAGCTCTAACTGGACGCACTCAACACCTGCTTATTACGGCTTGTTGTTATTACAACTGCTGACCTCTCTGCGACAGTAATGTCAGCACTGTCTTGAGTTTCTTCCCGGCTGTTTTTCTTCAACCCACGCACTCTTCTCAGTTTGTCTTCTCACACCAAGAACCCACTCTGATCAAATATAAGCTGGAGCCTGTCTGCCTGCCTGTGAAGAAAAGCCGCTCCCTCATGCTGACCAAAAATCACAACAAAATTGTTTGAGTCAGAAATTGCACCATTGGGGATTTAAATGTTTACTTCTGCGCTTCACCAGAAAGAAAGATACCCATGACATCATTTAAGCTTCTCTCCAGCAGAAAGCTAAGAACCTGTCATGTGCTTATGCAAAGGCTTATGCATTCATGCATGTTCACACGCATACATACAGTTACTCCTGAAAACTTGTGCATGCTCTGCTTCATTTTGCTTCTTCTTAGTGTTATCAAGCTGAACAGTCAGTCAGCATTTTGCAGTCAGTCTCCATTTGGCTCTGGGAACCTGTTCTTACTGTGGGAGCTCTGCCCTGTCCACAGGCTGGAATGTGCTTACATGGTTGGAAAAACCAAACCATGGAGGGAGGAGATGAAGACAGATGTGCAAGATAGAAGAAAGAAATAAAAAAAGATATAGAAAAGGTCTATGCTGGTAGAAGTAGTAGAAAGTTTGAGACAAAAATGGTGAGAAACAGCGGGGCTTATTAAACAGATTTGCGACTGTGAGCAAAGATATTCCGAAATGAGACAGAATGTCCACAGTGGGCGTAAAGCACACTGGGACTAGGTGTGAATTAATAATACTGAAGCATTGGAAAACAATAACCATAGTACTGGTCGGAAGAATAAAAACTTACAGGAAGTAGATTTCAAGGGGAAAGGCATGAAAAGGGAGAAAATGAGAAGAAGGAAGCATCACGAAGAAAGTATAATTGGATTGAGCCGAAAAGATAAGGAGCAGAACTTGGAGCAGAGTGGAAATGATGGATTGGTGGAAGTGGCACCTAAGTGAGGGCTTTTTGTGCAAACTTGGGCCTCGTGCCCTGTGTTTCCATCCTACTTGTGAAGTGAACTGTACACTCTGTCCTTCATAGCATCTACCAGCACTCCACAACTGGAGTGACTTGAGCAGTATAATTTAGAATTTTTCTATTGGAAACAACATTTATGGTGCGTGACTCCACCTAACTTAACATCCATCCATCAATCCATCCATTATCTATACACCGCTTAATCCCCACAAGGGTCACGGGGGGCTGGAGTCTATCCCAGCTGACTCAGGGTGAAGGCAGGGGACACCCTGGACAGGTCGCCAGTCTGTCACAGGGCGACATTTAGAGACAGACAACCAAGCACACTCACATTCACACCTACGGACAATTTGGAATCACCAGTTAACCTCAACATGTTTATGGACTGTGAGAGGAAGCTGGAGAACCCGGAGAGAACCCACACTGCACGGGGGGAACATGCAAACTCCACACAGAAAGATCCCAGGTGTCCTCACTGGGATGCGAACCAAGGATCTTCTAGCTGCGAGGCGAGCCACCTTGCAGCCCCCTAATATCTAATCCTAAAATGAAAAAGAAGTGAAGCAGGAGAGGAGCTGAGGCGGACATTGCAAAAGCCTGTGGGCCATAAACTGTCATACGATGGTATCCACCTCTTCCTCTGAGCATGAATACAATTTAAATGCGTGAGTTCAGCCCTTGTACAGTAGTCATTAATTGGGAAACCAAAACTGTTTCTTTTGCCTGACTGTAAACATGTTTTTTCCTGCTGTAAAGTTTGGCATTTTAACATGGAGGTCTACGGGGATTTACTCACTTTTATAGCCAGCCTCAAGTGGCCATTTGAGTAACTGCAGTTTTCCACACGTTCGCACAGGCATAATTTTTCAGTTGCAGTTTGATCAACACCTCAACACACATAACCACACACAGAAACATGGAAACACAGAACACCACAGATATTGCTTTCCTATTGACAACAACATCTCTTGCTTCCTTCAGTGTTGAAAATGCATAACAAGTAGTAGAGTAGACTACTATATGAATATGCACTTTACGGAGTTGAAACTTTATTTTATGCAAAAGGAAATGCAGTTGCACTTAAAACAACACCTCTGGTCGAAACTCACCCTTGACCTAAAACCAAATAGCAAGTGATGTAAGTTTGGGATGAAGGTTTTTCAGTTCTCACACCATGTTTTCAATCCCTCTCCTGTTTTTATTTTCACTTGTCTTATCACTAGCACCATTTTTTCCCCTTCTAATTTCCAGTCTCTTCTTTGTATGGACCGGACCATATATTTTTCAGTAATTTAATGTCTTGTTTCAACAGCTGCTACCATCATGCTCTCATTATTTCCTACTGAAGGAAACAATCTGGATGGTAATGAACTGTTTTATTTGTCATCAGTCTCTCTTTTTGTTGTGATGACGTGTTCTGACAGTTGGCTCAGTCTGCTCCTGTCTAGCGATGCTCTCTAGATATGCGTGAATGTAAGTCAGTCTCGGCTTCAGTGTTTTTCTCTTGAATTCTCATCATGAATCATGATTAATATGAGCGACGTTGGCTTAAAGAAATATAAATCTGTCTCTCTTTAATAGTTCAAATCTAATATGCAGCATTCACCTCCGCTTGTGTAGCATGACATACTGTATGCCTGAAAGCAGCCCTCACAGAAAGTAGGTTACCGGTGACACCAGTTGCTATAGCAAGGCTCAGTTTAGAAACACGTGCTGAAAGACCTCTTGGTGGGTTTGTCTTATCTTAGTAACGCTTAACACAGTGCAAATACAGAAGACATGCTGAAACATTTCTCTGCGTGTTGTGTGGTCTGTGTCCCCAGCAGACACAGCAGCAGCCACACCAAAGAGCCTGCATTCTATCGTGACAGCACATTTGTATGCTTTTGTAGCAGAAGTTGCGTTACATGTATGTGAAAATATCTTTTAAGTCTGTATGTACTAAAGTCTGGTCTTTTTCAATTAGACATGGATCACATAGTTAGCCCCACTCCCTGTTGTTGAGGTGACAACAGTAGGCTTCGTGTATATGTAGGCTTACTACGAGGTCATATTGTGACTCCTTTTTAAGCATTGTAAGTAACAATATTTGTAATGTTCTGTGGATCCATCATCCATCCTTTCATTTTCTTCTGCTTATTCAGGGTCAGGTTGTAGTGGCAGCAGGCAAAGCAGGGCATCCCTCTACCCAGTAATGTTTTCCAGCTCCCCCTGGGGGAGCCCAATGCATTTCCAGGCGACATGAGATGTGTTTTCCCTGAAGTGAATTTCTGGGTGTACACTGGGGTCTCCTCCCAGTTGGATGTGTCCTGAAAACCTCCAAAGAAAGCCACCCAGGAGAAATCCTAATCAGATATTCAAACCACTGAAGCTTATGACGCAAAGCAATAGAGACTTTACTCCAGGCTCACTCCTGGATGTCCAAGCTCTTTGTCCTATTCTTAAGGCTGAGCCCAGCCACCCTATGGAAACCCATTTTAGCTGCTTGTATCCACAATCGTATTCTTTCAGCCACTGCCCATTGGTAAATCAAGAGCTTCGCCTACAGCTCACCACCAGTCCGTCTGTCCATCTCACGCACCATTTTTCCGTCACCTGTAATGACTATCCCGAGACACTTAAATTCCTTTGAATGTAACAGCAACTCGCCCCCAAACCAGAGACAGCAATCCACTGGTTTCCTGGCAGAGAACCACAGCCTTAAACTTGGACCTGCTGACTCTCATCCCTGTCACTTCACACACAGCTGCATATCGTCCCATTGCATGCTGAAGGTCACGGCCTGATGAAGCCAACAGAACCACGTCATGGAGCAACCTTGGCGTAGTCCAGCACCCACCAGAAACGTATTTGACTTTGTGCCAAGGATACGAACACAGCTCTCTCTTTGGTTGTACATAGACTGGATGGGTGGTACCAATGGCTCCAATACCACATACATATAATATATATATGTATACAATAGACATACATATATGTATTTTGTTTTGCATAAGTATCTCAGCAGCCAAGGCTTTCTTTAGGTGAATGTACGATGTTGCACCCCTGGATAAGGACGGTTTTCTGTCTCCATTTTGATAATCAAAATGTAAAATATGTACAAATGAGGATGAACATGCCAACACACCAGTTGTCTCCACCATTTGCACAAACAAAATGCTTAAAAGATGAATCCCAGAGTGGAGAGTGCAGCTGAGTGCATGCTTGCCGACTGGCATACCTAAGTATGAGTGTGTGTGGCTGAGGCCTTTTTAGCCACCCTCATGCGTTTCCTCTCCAGTGAGGAGGCTTTAGTAATCTGGATCCACATGAGTCCACATGCATACCACATGGACTCAGAGGACTGTTGGAGCAGAAAAGTCATACACCAATGTTAAATTGGGGCCGTAACAGTTGGTTCATTAAACAGCTCCCAAGACTCCCTAATGACTCCAGCATCCCCTCTTTCTCTTCTTACTGCTCTGCTCTTGGGTTTATCAGGCCTGACTTCAGAAGCTTTTGCAACAAAGGAAGATTATACAGCACTATATATTGTATCGTACCACCCAGAAACACAGAACAAGAAAATCTAAGTGTGTGTTTTACTCATCTAGATTCCATTACGAGGATTAAAGAGTTGTAGCTGAATTTTACAGTCATCATAAAATTAATACATTTAGTCATCTCGTATACGTTATTCACTTGTTTTCATGTTTTCTTTTGCTGATATTGTGTTTTCATCCTTTTCTGTTGTTTTCTTGTGTTGCAGAGGTGCCGCTGGTCCTATATCTATTTCTGCTCATTTCTCTGGTCTGGCTTTGGGCAGGACTCCACATGGGCTACAGGTACCTGTGGATGCTCATCCTCTACGTCATCTTCAACTGCCTGCTGGTGAGATCATTGCCTTTTTGTATTTGTTTGCATTCATGCATGCTCATTTGTCTACTTACTTTGTATTGCAATTCCTTCGTGGTCATACACTATACAATTGAAATTAATGGAGTGAAAACTAATCTAAAGAAGTGTTTTGATATTTGCCCCCAAGCTTAAAATGCGTTGGAATTATTCTTTTTCCAAGTTTGACTTGAATGATCTTTATTAAGGTTACATTAAGGTCTCTCATTTTTTTTTCCCAGCAGCTCCCCACTAGCATCCCCTCATCTTGGTTTACCTCCTGGAGAAACTTCACTGTTCTCAAACTTATCTGAAATTTTCTGACAGTTTGAGGATTAGAGGGCGTTATGGGGCACAGTAAAAATATCAGAGAGTGTACTTTTGGATTACCATAATAGTAATCTTTAGTGTGGTCGCTGCTCATTGCGTTTATAGATTGTAATATAGGGCTTTCTAGAAGTTACCACAGCTGCACAATTTAATATTTGAGGTTACAATACTGGTCCGTGTGTGAGTGTGCATGTTGATGTTTTGCTGAGTTGGGAGTGGGTGTGGGTGTGGGCTATGATGAAGGCTACTTTATCCCACTTTGAAGCCCAGCTTTGAAGTAGAAGAGAGGCAGGGTTATCACTGTGTCACATCTCGCTGAAGCCTCTCACCGCAGTCTCTGTCTCTCTCACCACTTTCCACTTGAGTTTTGCACCTGTTTGTGGTCTCCCTGTTTGTCTCAGTTCGTTGCTCCCTTCATTTTTTTCAACTGTGAACTCCAAGCATCAGGGAAGATGACGAGAGGACGTTAATGAGGCACAAGATTTACTGTCTCTAGATAGCTCCTTATTGTGGCTGGAAACCCACAATCATTTACACTCGTAGTGTGTCCAAGTTGGAGGAATTACATAATGGTTTGTAGTTGTATAAGGGCAATTATGTAGCATGAAGTAATGCCACACAACACAGCATTTACAGCCGAGGCTAATTTGTAATGCCCTAGATTGGACCTTTGAGATGCATAAAATCCAGCAACATATGCATAAGGGGTGATACAAAAGACAAACTCAGCAATAAATATATACATTTAAAATACAGAACTCAGCAAAAAAAACAACAGACACATACAGAACACTGCAAGACAAAATGCACAGGACATAATCCAACAAAAACACCCGAGAATAAGAAGCACCAGATCATTCATGACTACATGATTAACCCCTCTTTGTGAAAACTGTCTTAATTTGAATTTAAAATGTTCCCAGTCATGATCCAGTTAGAGTTCTGTAGGTAAGGAACTCCACGTGTTGATTCCCTGAACAGAAAAAGCGGTATAGGATTTATGTAAGGGCACGTTACCTAATTCCCGTTGGATCCTCGTGTTACTGAATGAGGAACTCTGAGAGGAACCGCTGAGCACCAGAGGAGCCTGATTACGTAGGTATTTATAGATGAGTTTAAGATGAGCAAATTTAATTAAATGAACAAAACCTAACATATTTAATTTCTCAGGATCATGGCAGGGATGTGATCTTACTGGTTTATTGGCTGCCCAGAATTTGAATTGCTCAGTTATTTTACATATCACCAGGAAGTTTTGCTGTTGTGGATCGTGACCAAGAGGTGACACAATAATCTAAATGTAAAAATGTCATAGCATGCATGAAACTATTTGTAGCATAACATGGTGAAGATTCTCTAATGAATCCAAATGAACCATTTTAGCTTGAGCTTTTCAAGCTTGAGGTGGGATTTTAACATAAAGCTGAGATATTTTCCTTCCAAAATCCGTCCAATATGTTGCCCATTAGCCTTTAGAGTTTACATACATTACATGACTGGATATCTTACTATACCTTTTAAAAATATTTAGTGCGTATCAGCATTGCCCTTTTTGTCAATTTCCTTCTTTTTTTTTGTTAAGATAGTGTCTTTCATCGACTGCCTGTTCCTGAAGATTCCAGGATGATCTGTGAGAATTTTACCAAATTGTTCCATTAAAGCAGTCTGCAGTTTCTTTACAGTCATATAAATTGTCTATTTCCATTTTAGAGGCTCTTCTACAATTTAAATATGTTTTGGCATGGCTCCATGTCATCAGTAGCATTAGTACTGGACATCAAAAGTTCTCCATTTCACTTAACCTTTTAAATTGAACTTCCTGGCACACGGACTCAGTTTTAAAAATATCTTGCTTCTTGAGCGACTGAATAATGTCTTCTTTACAGGGGTGTCAGTTGAGGTCTGCCAGTTCTGCTCTGTGGCACAATGGGATCTTTTCTTTCTTGTCTAGTCTATAAATGTTTGCGGTCTCTTCTGTCATCGTCTGAGGGACACCATCTGCCTGTAAAGTGTGCCGTAAGAGGTCTGTGGTAACCCGTGGTGATATGTGGCATCCACACGCCAAAGACAACAGCGCTGCACCAAAGCAAACTCCTCCTGTTGGTACAGTGACTAATGAAGAGAAGTGATGTCAACACCGATGGTCAATGTCGCACTTAGCACTTGTTTATGAGCTCCAATAGAGTTTGTCCCACTCTGTGACATCATGTGGTCAGTTTCTGCAGCTGACCAGTCATGTGACAGTGTTGTTTTTTAAAGTCACTGGTCATTGGTTACATGAGCAAGTGTGTCAATCACAGGTTTTTAAATCTGTTTACAGTTCAGTGGCACACTTTGTCCACAGAGATTTAAAGGGATGTTTATGTGTTACACTGCTAAACTCAACTGATGTCACATTTTTGAGCTTAATTTTTCTTCTGACTGAGGTAAAAATCCTATCATAATCCCACAGGAACATTTCAGATAAAAGTTCTTTGTTCCTTCTGAAGCTACCTTAATTTGTTCTTGTGTTTGATTCCGGCCCCCCAAGGCCTCCAAGTCGTCTGTTGCCCGTCTCTGCCTTGACTCAAATAACAATCATACAGGCATGCATGCACACACACACACATACACATACACAATAACACATAAAGCGCCCTTCCATCCCGCCAGTATTATGGCAGTCAGCTACATTTCTACTGAGATTGGGGAATACAGTGTAAAAGGTCTCATGCCAGCCTGATAGATTCCCTCCTCCTGCGTTCATTTTGGCCTCGGCTTCAATCAGGACACATTGTGGCAATAAGCTGACAAGCACAGACAACTTCTCAAACTCTGTGTTCTATGAGAGAGAGAGAAAAAAATCTCGTTTTAAAAGAACTATGGCGATTGATTTCCAATTCAGGCGCCTGCATTGCAACCTCAAAGCTCCGACTAAAGTGGGAGCCTCTGGGGTCTGCAGTAGGAACAAGGAAGGATTCATCAGAGTGGAACAGGTAAAGAGCCCCAGAGCTAGACTGTGTCCAAGGACATTGATTAGCAGCAAACAAACTCTTTTGACCCAGTTTTTACAAAGCTAAACAAAGGGGGCCCTAAACACATACTGTTGTCATGTACCAAGCTTGGTCGCAATTGCATTTATGCGTGCGTGTCGTTTTTTATGGAGCAACTTTCATTTGAAGGGGAAATGAGCAACAGTCAGAGGGATGACATTTTGTGTTATTGTGAGACTTCCATTAGAGACCGAATGAAAGTTTAATGAAAGCAAATGGGAGCCTAATAGACAAGACTGAAAATGGTCTTCTCATCCAATACTCAGTAACACCTGGAACAGCAATTATACCGCCGTGATTCATGAGCAGATGCAGGCCTGCAAAGACATACGAGAGAAGTTCATTTCTGTCGTAATGCATCTTCGGGCCCCTGCAAGAAATCCTAATTCAAGGATTATTTGTATTCTTTTTCTTGCTATTATTTTACACAAGAAGATTTCAGCCAAAAGTTGCTGACAGATGAGGCAAAAGTTCCACCAGCTGCTTTTGAAAACATCTGATCTTATCCTGTATTCGGGTCTTTAATGCTGCCATTTTCCATTGTGTTTCACTGCCTTGCGGCTGGAAGCTGTTATACTGTACTCTCTGCTGCAAAGAGGCGGTTTTTGTTTCCTGCATGCCGTGAATTTTCCATTAGGAGAATTTTCCATATTTACCTTGGTGTTGTTGTTGATGTAGCTGTGTGGCACACCTCCCCTGTGCTGATTACTGAACACCATTAAACAGCTGCAGATGTTACAGCTGTGCGCGGCTGTGTTTGTGTTTCGGAGCACGCATTACTTTTTGGTTATTGAGCATGGTGAAAACAACCGGTATTTTCCAGGAAGGTATGTAGCTGAACCAAACAGCAAAACTGATCACATTTGCCGTTATCTTGAGGAAAATGTGACTTTTTAACTATTTTTTTTCTACCCATGTTCCTTCCATCCCTCTTTTCTTCCGTTACACATCTGTGTCACATCAGGCTGAATTAGAAGACAATAATCGAATCACCGCAGCACCACCCCTCATTATCTCCTCCTTTGCGGCTCCGCTGCCGATAAACCTTACCTTATTGTAACGTCACATCCACAGCCGTGAAGCAGCACCATGCTTCATTACAATTCAATTCCACCTCTGCTTCCTCATTCAGCCTTGGTACTTATCTAAAAATAGGACACAGGATATCTGTGTTTTATTATGGAAAAGAAGACCCTGGCCTACGCATGTCCACACATGCAATCAGCTGTGTGAAGCCTGGAAATAATTAGGGTTTAAGGGAAATAGAACTGTTGCTTTTATGAGCACAGACAATTATTTGCACACAGCACAGGACATTTTTCCCAGTTAGGAACTGAAGAGAATGTTGCATCATTTATTCAGTTTAGAACAAGAACAGTTCAGAAAACCTGAGAGTTTTTTTTAATTTTACTTCTATTTCTCTATCAGCAACTTTAGTTTCTGTCTCCTCTCACAGCCGGTGGCACATCGTCATCTATTGTTTTCCACTTTTCCCTCAAAGTGGATACACTTCATTTATTTTAACTTATATTTTTGTACTAAAACGTCTCTTCTCCTGGTCTTTCTTCCATCCTTCAGTACCTTCCCTGTCCTTGGTGCTCTCCTTAGGGTTGTACTTCCATCTATGAAGACGTGGCCTCTCTAGTGATCAGGGAACACTTGCATAACAATCCTATGGTTGTAAAGCCTGTTCCTCAGGCTGCACAGCTTGCTAATGATCTGTGCTAATCACCCACAATACTGTTGTGATGGAGCCGCAGTTATGGATGGCAACACACACACACCCAGAGATGAATACACAACTGGCTGCTTGTTCAGTGTTTTATCTGATAACACTAAGGAAGGGTTTTCTTTAACGTGATGCATAGAAAATGCAAACAAAAAGTCATGACGTGACAGCACACACACTTTGCACAACACTAAACCAAACCTCTAACCCTCAAATGTCCCATTTCTTAGGGGAAGTGGTATTAAGTTTTCATTTTGCTGCTCAAGCACAGGCCTCAGAGGTACAGTAACACGAGGATCATACAGTACATACATTTATGTAGCTTTGTTTTTCAGAAAACATCAGGCCATAAAGCACAGCTAATGACCTGTGAGGTGCTCCATGTGGTTTTTATCTGTTTGCAGCCGCTTTTTTTCCCCCTGCTCATAGTCTGGATGTTCCAGTTTTACAGTGCGCCCATAAACACATAGTTATGGTTCCTGTTGTCTTCCTGGTGACGCTGATTGTAACCATCCGCACTGTGTAAAAGCCCCTTTATATGTCAGTAAACGTCTAATATATAGGTAATGATTCCTTTTCTGGCAAGTGCTGCCCTTTGTTGTCAGCAGTGTGATCTGTGCTTTCTCATGAAAGACATTCACTTCATGTCAAAAAGTTAGATTTGAGGTTGGAATAGTCTGGGGAGTCCTCACTCGCTGCCATTGATTGAGAACAAGCAAATGTCTGGTAAGACTCTGCTCAGAGCCCATTTTTCACAAATTGATAATTTAAGGAAATTTGGTCTTTTTTTTTTTTTTATAAGATCAAAGGAAGATGACTGAATGAGACAGTCAATCCGTCACAGTTGCTGTCTGAACCACATTTGGTATAACATTCTGTACTTGTCACGATGCCCAGGAAATCATTTTACACTAGTTTCTTGTCATCATTTTTAATGAGACTCTCTTTTCATGCATTTCTGTGAGTGAATGGGTCCCCCGTTTGCCTGCACCTGTATTTACGCACATTCACACATCCGTGCTTTGCTGTCTTGTGCGTTCCATCTTTGTCTGCGGCTGCCGTCATCACCCGCTGATAAGTGTTGTGAAATACAGGACGGCCTTGTGGCATTTGACACTCTGGTGTTCTGGGGTAATTCACAGCCCGGTGCTGTTGACCAAGAAGATTTGGTAATGACGAGGAAGTGGAGGAACCAGAAATACCAGAGTGCCAATGATGTCATGGCACAGCGATGAAGTAATTCCTCATTAATCATGCTGTAAAACACATTGTTGCTTATAATGATGTAGAAAAAAAATATATACTAATCCAACTTCTGCTGCAGAAGCAATAAAGTGCATGCTAGTAATGAAACATTACAGTATGACTCAATGTAACTTGGAAGAAATTTATAACTGAAACATGTACTTTTCTATTTTAAGCATTTAGGTCTTTGATCCCAAGCAATGTAGGCCAACCAAACTTCAAACATCAGAGGTTTTTCCGTTACAGATAGATGGAGCCAGATATGTTCCAGATTCCATGTATGAAACAGACTTTGAACTGATCTTATAAGAGACTGTGGAGCAGAGCAATGGAGAATGGAGAACTTATTTCTTAAAGCTGTTTTTTTTTTCCCCCTCTTTCTCTACAGGGCTTGTACGTATTTGCAGTTTATTTCATCATGCACAACCAGCTGTTCTGGCCCACTAAAGCCAGTTACACAGTGGAAATGAGTGGCCACGATGGTCCCGACTCGACCTACCAGGGAGGGGGACCCACCACTGTCGGGGGTGACATCAGCAAATCAACTCAAAATCTCATCAGCGCCATGGAAGAGGTACACAGACACACACACACACACACACTCACACAGACAGATACACTTATCAAAGACAGACAGAGTGTACATACCTGATTAGGCAGACTGACAGCATTTTACTGCCCGTATCTTTCATGCACTCAAGCTGAAATTTTTCACATTTTTATTTTAGTGACACTGTGTTCTTAAGCACATCCTCATCGCTTAGTTAAATAAAGTCATGGAAACATTTTGCTTACAATTTTTACTGATGATATTTGGGCTTGCAGCAATGAGCCCAACGAGGAAGACTCCTGGTTCAGTTTTAACTCACATTACCTGCAGTCATTTTTGGCCAAATGCAGACATTAACCTTTTAGACAATGTGGCTAAACTAGGATTTCATTCACAACCTTGTAATCTTTGAACCCTCTTGTAACAGTTTTCCTGCATCCTGAGAGCTCATCATTTAACCTTATTAGGAAAAATAATGTGATTGATAGGAATGCTGACCCAGATTTTAAAGAGGGAATCCATCTTTAAACACTAAACTTCTCCTTTGCTTTACCTTCTTTCACTCTCTCTCTTCGCTGAGTTTCCCCCCTTCCAATCTTTTTCCCATGCCCTCATTCCCATGGCTCTATTTCTCCATTTCTGGTTCTCCATCGCACATTTCTCACATCAGCTGAGCCTGATTCCACCGAGAACATTCTTACACATATCCTCTAGCTTTAGACTGATTCTCATTAAATAACATCTTCTTTTTTTTTAAAAACTGTGCTTCGGTCAGTCTTCATAACTCCCAGAAACAGCCACTTTAGCTCATCTTGTGATCTTTCTGTCACTCTGGCAGGTAGCAAGCAAACAGGCGCTGAAAACGTACCGCATGCACACACACATGCAGTAGTTTTGTAGTAACTCGGTCTCTTCAGCAACTTTTTCCCTGGAGAATACCCTATAAGGATTGAGCTGGTGAGAGGGAGAAAAAAAAAGAAAAAAAAAAACAGGGGCCGGTTTAACTTCATTACTCCTGGGAACTCCTCCCTCCCTCTCTCTTTTTCAATCTCTCTCCACACGTAGGAATCCAGTAATCTTGTTTTATTCATGAGAGCACACTCCTGCCTCTCTGAGGTTCGGCTGCAGCCCCAGTAAGAAAAATAAAAGTGCAGATAGAGACCCCTAAGAAGTGCTATGGGAGGTGTTAGGTGAGTGATTATTTGTGGAGTGGATTGGTTGAAAAGAGATTGAAGTGAGATTAGAATAGGTGTCGGAGAAAAAAAATGTGACGTTCGGGTTGACTTGCTCATTGGAGTCATCTACTCAGTGCCTCCCCTCAAAGTGGATGTGACAGATTTAAGGCGCCTGGTGGTGCTTAATTCACCTCACCGGGACGCTCTGTACCGGTCACAGCCCAGCAAGCCTCAGAAGCTTGTACAACACACTGACACATGCACATTTATGCATGTACGTGGACAGATGAGGCATTCATAATAAATGAACACGGTGGAAAACAAGAGATGATAGATTCATCTGGTTCTTGGGGACAAAATCAGAGAGAGACGTACACAAAACGATGTGCATCTGTTCCCTCTAGTTTTCTTTTTATTTCACTCTCTGCTGTTTTTCTTTCTTTTTTTCTTTATTTCCAACCATTTTTTCTGTGTTCAAGCATGAATGAAGAATTGTCCTCCTCCCCCCCGCATAAAAAGCACTAAATTAAACTCAATCATCCGTCTAACTCTGCTGGCAGCATGATTTCCATGATGCGGATTCGGTGTGAAACCCTAAACACACTGACCTCACGCTCACCCCGTGGACCCACTCTGACCCTGTGGGTTGGCCTTAACCCTTCGGGGTGCTTGGACAACATGCACTCTGCCTGACCCTAACTCATCATAGACATGATCACACGGCTGACAGACACAACCATCCACTGAATTAAGCGTTTGTATGTGTGTGTGTGTGTGTGTGTGTGAACGGGAGTGTGTGTTTGACCTGATTTTGCCCCGTGTTCATGTGAAGTTAATGTTTACACATAAAGACAGACCTTATGTGTTCCGTTTACATCTTTAAATTAGAACTTTTGCTCAAAATTGTACAAGATAGTTCCATTTTTAGCTTTTGAAAGTGCGATATGAATACATGTTTTATTCAAAGAATGTTGCTGGTATCAAATGTTTCACAAATTTATCACATATCGGACGTTTTCAAGTTTGTTTCTAGGTTTATTTGCCCAGTCAGAATGTTACAAAGCATGTGAGTAAAGGTCAAGAATAAAGAAAAAAAATTATTTCATCCAGGTTTGTTGGCAACAGTGACAATAATAAATGTGCAGGGTTTAATGTTTGTTGATGTGCATGGACTTATATGACCGTATATGTGCATATGCTTGTCAGATATCAGCAGACTGGGAGCGGGCGTCACTGCGGCCCACAGTTCAGCCCAGCAGTGTGTTTAAACCCAGTCCTGTGATGGGGTCGTACACCACCGAGGGAGGCTTCATCAACACCAACCTGGTCACCACAGACGAGGAGTCGCAGGAGTTTGACGACCTCATATTTGCCTTAAAAACTGGTGAGGACAATCACTTGGCAAACTTCCCCTTTTTCCCTCTGTGATCAATACATCAGCATCCTCACACTAACACCTTAGTTTAGTTTAGGCAGAAAGGACCTTTATGGAAGATTGTACATGAATGAAAAAAACAAATGGAACAGAATATCATACTGACTTTTCTGTTGCGTGTCAAATGTAAGAGTTTCCTGGTTTACGCTTCACTTAAAATGGTTAATCAAATACTATGAGTACCTAACAGCCTCACCTTTTGCTCTTCATTTATTTGTGTTTGAAAGTGTTTCACAAAGTGAATGTGTTACATTTTGGGTCAATCAGAAGCTAAACATGTGAAACATTCTGTGCCGTAAGTTATGTAACCTGAGGCGCAAAGGCAACGATCCAATGCGACGTGTTGGCCACAACACATTTTTTAACATTAAAGCTTTTAATATGAAACCAGTTTAATCCGATGGGACTTCTCGCAAAAAAACGATGATGAAACTTTTGGTGGCAATAAAATGTCATAATATGAGTGTGTTTGATTATTTCATAGTATGCATATATACAGTATCTGTTGCATCCATTAATCTCTGAGCATCAACCCTGTTTTGTGATTTCACTGCGGACCTTAAATCTCTCTGCTGCCATGGAAACCATTCTTCTTCTATTGCCATCAATGTTTAATGAGCTGAGGGTCCAAACTGTTTACTGATACACTGATATAAAAACACACGCACTCACACTTCGAACCACTGACTCGTTGCTTCACGCTGTCTGAATACGTGGAGTCATTTTCACACACCTAAAAAAACAAAAAATAGGCGACGGGAAGAAGTGAAGGTCATCCACTGCAGTCACAGTCTCAGTTTTTTTTTTAAAAAAGCAGACAGTCTGGATTTAAAGTCCAAATTGCATCTTTTCTGACTGTGATTCTTTGGTTCTTTATTGCAGCAGAGATCCTTGTCAGTCCCTGTTAGTCCCCTCCGATGGTGAGTTCTTTGTTGAACAGCCACCACTTGAGCATTAAGTATATCCCACTCTGCTTGAGTGTCACGTCATGGAAAGAGCGAGCGTCTAGTCTTCTAAACGGTGGTCGCTCTGGGAGAGATAAGAAATATGTAAGCGGAGATAGACCAACCTGATAAGACCCTGAAGTTAATGAGACAGTGTCAGGTCACATTGAGTGTCGTGGTTAACCTCCTGGGGTTCGGAAGAAGAGAAATAACTTTCAAGGAAAATAAATTAGTCATTAGCGGTCATTAAGCACCGCTGGGCTTTTGATAACTTTGAGCATGTTAAAAGCTACAGTCCTGAGTTTTCGTTTGACTTTGCAAAGACGGTTGTCATGTTTCAAACACAGAAGGCTTTTAATCCCGAAAACCCACATCAGACTTAACCTCGCATCCCAGAAAAACAAAGCTTGTTACCACGGAGACAGTCCAATTAAAAGTCCATCCGAGCAGGTGTGACTTTAAGAGACTTCCGGGTGTTAATAAACAGATTACACTGATGGGATCGTGTTGCACCAAGTGAAAAACCTGAGCAGAGGTGGCCTCTCACCATCTTATTGATTGTGTGGTGACAGTATGTGTGTATATGTACGTGTGCGTGTGTCCATCTCAAGTAAACTGACGGTTGTAGCAGCAGGTCAGTCGTCACTGATCTGCTCTTTTCTTGACACGTCGGGTGCGGCGTTCAACCTTAAATAGCCTCCGGGGTGAAGGAAACAGGCCAGGGAATTTATTGGTACGCTCAGCGGCAAACTCAGCACTATGAGGAAATCATTCATATCATTCCGTGTGGCAAAGAGGAATAAGTTTGTAAGAAGTAATTAAGTCAAGGCATTTGGCTCCACACGGGTTTCTGGAGTGGCTTCAAGAAAATATAGCACTTCATCTTTGCTATGTGGCAAATAGAATGTTATAATCCTCTGTTTTCTGCAGTCAAAAGTACATTTCTGCATCAGTCACAAGTCTTCCATTTTACGCTTTCCCCGGTGGCCTCTGACCTTCTCTCCGTCATACATGTCTCAGTGAACCTAGAGCCCGGTTTGATCTCAGCCATGCAGTCAGTGGTAAAGATAATTTGCTAATCGGAATTACATAATAAGGCACCACCTGACAAGGGTCAGTAAGTAGTGCTGTAATGAGGGTCTTCACATCTCATTTGGTAGTGAATCATTAACACATATACACACACAGAGGCGCACATGTACTCTCAGCTCATGTGTAGTGCCACCAAGAGCTGATCATTAACGTGTCGGCCATTAACGCGGCGTCAGAGGGAACTCGGCATACGTGTTTCTGTGAAGGATCATAAATGTGTGGATTCTCGTCTGGTTACATCATAGCAGTAGCGCATTTTTACAACAGGTGCTGGCTCGACAGAAAAATATCTCGCTGGTCCATTGCCACCAGAATACAGTGAGATCTTTAGATAACCTGCACATTGGTGACCTTGCTTATCTTTCTTGGTGTACTGTACAATAGTAATGCTGAGCACCAATATCAAAGTGCAAGTGAACTCAGTAGCACGTCGTCTTACTCTGAGTATGCACACACAGCAAAGTGAGCTTCAGTGAAATACGATTAACATCAATTTAAAGAGGATGTGCTGAAAGTGAGTTTGACAGTAGCCCAAGTCTTTACAAATATAAGAATCCAACGTCATACCCAAGTGTAAACATGTGGTTTTGAATGTTTACTACATATGATCACTGAGCATGTGTTTATCATACACACAACGTGTCAGTGTTTTACCAACAGTCCTGCTGTATCTTTGACATATAAAGAGTCACTTTGTTTCTGTGCCTTGCCTCCAACCTTACATTAGAGCTTGTCAGTCTGCTCCATTCACATGTCATTACCATGACTGATCAGATTCAGCATGCTGTCTAATAAGCCAGACATCATGACTTGTACGGTGGATTCCAGAATCCCACACTGGCATGAAAAGCACACACTGAGCTGATGGAGCTATTGGATATTAGGTGGTACAACTTACTAAGTTTTAAAGAAAAATACACCGAATCATAGCGCAGATATTCTTGCATATATGTTGCATTAATAAATACAAACAATGATACCTATGTTATGTATATATTGATGTGTGATGTAACTTTTTTGTGTCTATTTCAGGGACCGGCCTTAATGTCAGTGATAATGAATCCATCCCTGGAAGCCACGACGGAGGAAGTGTAACCAATTCGCAAATAGTTGAGCTCAGACGAATCCCCATCGCCGACACACACCTCTAACCTATTCACCTCACACAGATCCAATGTCCTCTGTTCTTCCTATCGGAAAGAAAAAAATTACATGGCAGTATTTTTATATTGTAAAATCCTTTGCACTAAAACAGTTTTTTAAATAGATTGTTTTCATATAGGTGTTTGATACTGTATGTGATTTTTACTGTACATCCTGTTCACATATATACATATATGTTTTACTAAATTTATTTTTTAAAAGTCCTTGATGGAGTTGTTTTCTGAATGTATATTTTGGGTTTGATTTTTTGTTTTGTTTTGTTTTCTGTAGAGCTCTAGCCAGATATAGAAAGCTGTGCCCCTTTAGCACAACTTCTGCTGCTGAGGATGGCGATTGTGTAACATTGTTAATAAATAATGTACCATATATTTTAGATTTGGACGCACTTCTTCCATTTTTACTGCCCATGAGAGGCAGTTTACTACCTGAGGCGGAGGGGGTTTGGCACGGGGGTGGTTCTCTGAGAGTTATGCAAGTGCCTCATTGTGGGGGTCAGAGGTCACACCCTCACGAGGGACGGTTTGTGTCAAAGATTGGTGCCCCAGAGAAATTTCACAACCTGGTCAAACAGCCAGCAGAGGTCTGGTGGTGTCTGCAGCGAGCAAAGGAGGAGAGTGTGAAAATAAGAAATTTTAGGAAATGTAGAGCTGTAGAAAATGTTCAAAATACCAAAGAAGTCGGCATTTATTAGCTGTTCAGTGGCATTTGAATCAGTTTCATTTAAAAGCATACTTTAAAGCGAAGGCTCGTCTTTGATCGGCTCCGTAAAGAATCAGTGGGTGGGAATGTACAAGCAAATATTCCACTTTCAACTTTGCCAGCAGCTGTGGACCTCTCGGAATCCACCGTCTACTTGACCTTTGCCTTTAACCCTTTAACCTCGGTCCTCCATGAGCTCAACTTCTGAACTTGGTTCATAGCTGCACAAGGGGTTGCTACTTTTACTGCTCAAGAAAGTGCACGAGTGTGAGATTTGCAAGAAGAAACAGAAAAGACAACATACACAGACTGAAGCTGAGAATTCAGACATCAGCTATTCCTGTTGGCGCAACAGAAACAGCGCCTTGCTCGTTACAGATACTCTCCCAGGTTCATGGTGGACGGTTGAGGTCACGATCCCAACAGATAATGAGAGAGTTGCAGCAGCAAGAGGTCAGTGTGCTACTTCTGATGCTAAGGAACCACATAGAAAAGGTTGTCCTGTCATACACCTCCCTCACTTGGCTAATGGCTTGAGTCTCCCTCCTGTAGGCAAAAGGTGACGATTCTGCAGAGGGGAGAAAGATTACATGTTTCTTTACACATGACGTGGTTTAATTTTGTTCAGGATGTGAATTGGAGCCCGTGTTTCTGAGATCCATACCACAAATTGATCCTGCCGTTCCAGCTTATTATCATGGCAGAGACAGCATGGCTGGACGTGCAGAACTTTTCCTTTTCTTTTATTTCTCTGTCCTCTTATGTGGCACTTTTCAACTTCCAAGGCAAACACAGTGAGCAAACTTTGTCCACAGTGGACGACAGAGAAGTTTTTTAGGACAGAAAAAAAAAAAAATCAAAGAACATTACAATGCTTAGTGTGTGTGTGCTTTTTCTGACTTTCCTAGGAACTTTGAGACCCTTACGTCGGCGTCTTTCCTCCGGGATTTGAAAGAGATACATTGCTATAATGAGCAAAGAAGTCATTGCTTCATTTAACAAGATAGCACTCCAAAGTTTAATGGCAGCAGCTTCTGGGTTTGTTTTCTCCAGTCGCGGTTGAGCTTGTAATAGTGCAGAAAGAACTTTTAATTGTCATTTAGCATTTCCAAGGGGCCTGTTACACTGTTTACCACCTTCTAAGAAAAGCAGTGACATCGTAAGCAATTAATTTTCATGCATTATTGCAGCCTGCCGTCAATGTAACATTACATATTTCCATTATGTATCCATTAGAGTCAACTGCATTGCCTGTGAACTGTATTGTCATTAATGTTAATGAGATATGGTGCGACTGGCTTCAATTTACAAGCTACAAGGAAAACAGATATGCAGCAAAAGAAGCAACACATTTGTTGACCTTCAGTAAGACTTGTCGATAGAGATCTAAATTAACTGCTGCACCGAAACTGCTAACCACTAGTTATCCCAGTGTTTATGATGTATTTCATAGTGTATTTTAGTTATGTAATTACCACATATACGTAATCTTGTTCCAGTCTTATCTTATGCAGGAGGCCCAGGGTTTGCCAAGAACCAGGCTTAGATTACACTAATGTGTTATAAAAAGCAATTTGCAAGCACTGCAGCTTGGTGAAATTGCCTCCTAAGTGATTGTTGCTCACATTTTACACGCTCATGCAAGGATCACTGGGATGTTATGATGTGGGATGATTCCATACACAGAGGTCAAGAACCTTAGCTCAAGGACAAGACATGAATAAATGTATAATGTGTTACTGTGGGATTGGTTCTTCCTCAGAGCGGGATGTCTCAGAGAGATATTTTCAGATTTTGTAGGCAACAAAAAGTAATAAGATTTCTGCCAGTGCTTTACAGAGTCTCGCATGAGATGAGCAGAGCTTTTGTAAAAGTCTTCAAATGATCTAAATCACCTATCTTAGCCGTAGGGGGGATAGTGATTAACCAGCCACAGCAAACAGCTTGATGTCCCAACCCACTAGTCTCGGTCCCAGAGACACCAGACTGCAGACAAACATGTTTATGTTGGAGTCCTTGGTCTCTTCTCACCCGCGAGCCCTCTCGATCTGTCTGTGCCCAGGGGGAACCGCAGAGATAAGACGGCAGACAACCAGGCAACAGCTGATTCACAAATCGCTCACAGTCTGTATGAATGCCTCGATGATGACTCTGCACTTCTAGCTCTCAGTGAATCATCACATCTTTGAAGCAAGGTCTGTTAAGGTTGAGGGCATTTGTCTTTCACAATATCCCCCTGCAAAAAAAAAACAATAAAAAGGATGCAGGAGGTTAAATTACACCACCTAACAATAAGAAGCGATTTCAATGAGGTTCAACTAAAGTTTATTATGGCAACAGTAATCCCAGTGGAATACATCATTCTTTAAAATTCAAAGGAAAGGGTGTGAATTTCGGGAAGGCGATAATGCCAACTTTTGAGCTTTTTTTCCATGGTCTTTCCGCTACAGCATAATAAATGTAACAAATCTCCCCCTTAATTCTTTAGACTGTGAATAAATGCACAGTTTAGCTGAATACAAACTAGTCCGACCTTTTATTGGAGCATGCAACAGCTCGTCTCAGGCTACAGTGGAACTGACCCAGTTTCTTGGTCTTTGTTGGTTAAATCAATACAACCAGACAATGAGTCAAGAGTCACCATGGTGCTGAGGGAGAAACCGCCAAACAAGTGATATACACGCAATGTCAACCTGTGCTACCCTTTGTCCTGGTTAACGGGCCTGGTTTTCTGTTTTCACATCCTTAAAGTGACCTGTGCTGCATCATTATTCAGTGTCCTTGTAGGCAAGACACACATTCGTGGTTGTTGCATTGCCTGTGCATCTGGTGCGCTGAAAGTCTCACAGAGCAGCAGATTGTATCCAATTACCGTAAGCATCCCTCATTAAAAGTACCGTGGCACTATAGGTGTAATTTAATCATCCAATCACCCCGCTGTGACGTCTGTCGGATGATCAATAACTTGCTTAAAGGTAATGTGAAGGGCGTGGAAGCTGATTATAGACGTTGAGCTAATCGTAGAGATTACATACTTTAAGGCGGTCGAGACAAAAACGAATTACAAAGTAGAAATGTATCAGACAGAGATAGATGTAACACAGCGCCCATACGGCTGGTAATATAACTTTTCTGTCTCTATTACCAGTGTGTAAAAGATTCAGCCTGTCCCTTTTAGTTCTCTAGAGATGATGCTGAGAAAGCACTGCTGTCTACATTCACACTCTGAAAATTCGGTCGAGTTCAAGAACAGATGACTTGCGCTGCTAGTAAGCATTTGTGAACCTGTGTATTACGCACATGGCGCTTGTACTCCCACCACATTCCCCATGCTCCTGTCAGCCTTTCTGAAACACACCACAGAGCGACTGCAGGTAGGACACAGAGTCAGCAGAAGTGCTTCATTCGTATATGGAAAGTTGTATAATGTGAGGAGAGAAGACGGAGTGACTCATAGGAGGGTGAAAGTAAACATTTCTAAGTGAGGCTGCTGAGGACAGGGTGCTCTTGTACATGTGTCTGCATATGTTTAAGGTATCTGCTCATCTCCCCACGTGTCCACGGGAGGAAACACATGGTGAGCTTAGCAAGGACAGGATGCAAATATGTACTTGCATTAGTTTACATGCATCTGTGTGTCTCTACAAACTTACGTGCACATTATATTGCCCCTCATTAAGATGGCACATGATAACCTTTTCCATAACGAGATCAGAGCGTGCTTCGCTTTCTGCACATCAGCAAGCCACAGTGATTTAAACCCTCTTGTCATCCACCGCCAATTACATGGTACTCATCACCATTGCACTGGTGTTTCTGACATCACCAACTACTCCTGGAGGGTATCTGGTGGCTTCAGCAGTGCCAGCAGTGGCCCGCTGCTTGAGGACTTTGAGTGTGAGTTTATTCTTGGGTGATTGGGTGAAGACATTGGCCTTCTGCAACCCAGTTTGGAAGTAAATGGACTCCACCTAAGTACATACAAGTCAGTGGACGACCACTTTTCAATCAATGGCAATGCTTCAACTGGACTTTTTCCACTTGTTTTACTATATAAAAAATTATGAGGGTACTTCAAAAGGTTCTCGGGTTCACCTGAAAACACGGGGCGTAGCTCTCATTTAGCGGCATGACTGTATACTACCACTGTCCACAAAAAGACAAATGTTTGAAGCAGTCAAAGAATGAAAGAAAGGAAAGCTTTGAGTTGGCCACTGTTGCTCCAGGACAATGCAGAAGCAGCCAAACGTGGCTTTGAACTTCTGTTTCCCAAACTGAAATCCCATTTGTGGTTTTCAAAGGGATGATGAAGTCATGCATGCAGTTGAGGAGCATCTGGAGGTCCAAGAAGGGACCTTTTTTTTCCGCGAAGGGACAGTGAAGCTTGAACATCACTGGACCAAGCACACTAAAGTTAAAGGAGACCATGTTGATTAACAATGCAAGAGCAATCTCTCTCCTGCCAAGTTTTATGGTGAGGATGAGAACTTTTTCAAGTACTATTGGATTATACTATAAAAATATATATGTGTTTGGAAAAATAATGTAAAATTTGCACTAACTACAACACAGAGTTAACAAACAAGCCAAAACACAGTAAGTAGTTTATCAGAATGACTGTGTAGCAGTACAGTGGCTTTGTGTTGTTGCTCTGGCTGGTCAGTAGAACACCAT